ACGGTCAATCCTAGCCGAAAACAGGTTAGCTTTCAAAGAGTGCAGTACAGGGGCCTTCATAACTAGAGCAGGTTTTTGGAGAATATTATGCCTTAGAGGCTGAGTACCCGAGCCCAAAGTTGGTTAACTTTTTCAATTATGGTAAGGCTATATGAACGCCACAAGGTTAAAGGTTACCTACTCAGCTACTAAGCAACCATTATATCCTAAACCCTAAACGCCCTAAAGGCCCTAAAAGCCCCAAGAAAGCCCAAAAAAACCCAAAAAGTCCTAAACTCAGAAGCCGCCTTCCAACCCCCTGGTGATGGGAGGCCAAAAGGGTGGTTTAAGATTCTTGGGGGTGGGGATTCCTTAATATGAACCCTATTACGGGAACCCTAAACCCTACTGAACCCCCATAGGCTAAAACTCCTTTTGGCCTCCTATGACCTGGGCATCTAGGTCCGAAAGCCTAAACACGAAACTGGGTTCTTTTTGCTTGGAGGTTCATGGGTAGTTATAAGTGGGGTTATAAGTAGGGTAACTACACTCATAACCCACATTAGGGGACTTATAACCCTACTTATAACTACCCCTGAACCTCCAAGTAAGGAGCTTAACTTAAGTTACCACAAGGGTGGTTGTCGAAATTATGGGTACTTGTTGGGTCCCTAATATAGTACGGCACCTAAGATTTAGGGTACCCAAAAAGGGACCATAATTTTGACAACCGCCCATAATCAGGATGTATAGTAAATGATACGGTTCATTTATGATGGTAACTTGAAACTAAACTCCTTAACAAGAACCCGGGAAAAGTTGGAAACCGGATTGAGACCAAATAGTGGTGGGATGCCCTATACATTACTCTCAAGGATTGAAGTGTTGCTCCACCACGTGTTCGGCAGTGGCGCTCCGTTTCCATTTCCATTTCCATTGAAGCTGTTGAGTTTCCAACTTTTAGGCTTCTACTGTAGGAGTTAGGGTTAGGGGGACCCCTGGAGATATATACCATCTCAATAAGGTCCCGTTTAAGAAAGAAGGGTGCCCTTTAAGAGGCTTCCGACTTTTGGGCTTCTACTGTAGAGTTAGGGGTTTTGACAAGGCTTAGGGTTTCTTGGCTTTAGGGTTTCGGGGTCGTGGACTTTAGGGTTTTAGGGCTTGGGGTTGAGAGTTTTGGGGTCTCAGGGTTTAGGGACCCTAAACCCTAAACCCCTAAACCCTAAACCCTAAACCCTAAACCCTAAACCGTGTCGCTGCCTCAGGCTCTGAGAGGAACCCTCGCAGCTCTTCGGTCTCGGCCACCTACGATGCTCGCAACACGGGGCTGGCGTTGACGGTTCAGGGTTGGGGTGTTTCCTCTCTTCTTCAACAACCGGGCCGGAAAAAAGTTCAAGCTAACTAAGATAGAGCTAGAGCTTTAAAGACAACAAAGCTTAAAGTTCTCCCATTGGCTATCTTTATGAGATCTCTGCAGCTGTGTGCGGTGGTGTGTATAGGGATTCATAAAGTTATGTACGGTGTCACGGCGGTTTTCCGTTCCTTTAACTCTGGAAATTGAGGAAGCCGACCCAGGATCTTAATCGGATCCTAATTGCTACTTAAGGCCTATGTCCCCAAACTGCATCATCATTTTAGTGTTGTTGCCAAGTTGCCCCATCAACGCACAAAACCGCCATCCTGATTGCATCCAACGGCACCCCGCGAAGATTAAAAATCGAAAACATCAGTGACATCAGGTTTTCCCACGGCCAGGATTTTAAGGTTTTTCGGGCATTTCGAAAACATCGACATTTACGGTGCTTCCTCTGCTTGGGCTGGGCAGTCGGGTAGAGGGCACGCGAGCCGTGGTGCTTTCGTGGACAAACATCTGCCTCATCGGCATCATCATCGTCATCACCATCATCATCATCATCATCATCATCAGCCTCATCTGAATCTTACACCCTAAACCCTAAATCCTAGCCTAGTCATTTTCATCATCATCATCATCATCACCCTTACCACCATCATCTGGCCCAAAACCCGAAATCCTATAGCCATCATCATCATCACCATCATCATCATCATCGTCTGGCCCTAAACCCTCAACTCTAAACCCATCATCAACAACATCATCAACATCCTCCTCACCATCATCATCATCATCATCACCATTAACACCATTGACTTCATTAGCATCATTAGCATCACCATCCTCCTCATCACCACCTTCCAGGACATCCGAAAGCCCATTCCAGGCGGCTACCTCGCGATCTTTGGCCTTCAGCTCGAAGTGATCCGGGGCCTCGCCACAATCAGCTGCAAAGCCCTAAGAGGGTTTAGGGTTTAGAGTTTAGGGTTTAGGGTTTAGGGTAGGGTTTAGGGTTTAGGGCTTAGGGTCAAGGTTTTGGGTCTAGGGTTAGGGTTAGGCTTGTGGTTTAGGGTTTTTAGCGTTTCATCAGAATTCTGTCCGCGTTTGGTCGGGTGTGGTTTAGTGTTTTGGGCTTTTGGGTTGATAAATTCGGGTCCAAAGTGTTGAGCTTCTGGATCAGGTTTTTGGAGTTTTCAATTCAGAAGAAGGGTTTCGGGTGTAGGGTTCTTTGGTAGCGATGGCGTTTGCATCGGGTTTTGTACTAGGTTTGGGTAATGCTGAAACGAGTCAGTATAATCGAAGATGAGCTGCCGCAATACTGGCCTTTGTGGTTTCAACCGCGCTTTGGTTTGTACCGTTAATAGGGCTTTGGGTCTTTGGTGTTGTTCCTCCTTTCGGATTTCGGGCTACAGGGACTATGGTTGCTCGGGTTGAAAGGTTTCGGGCTTTCACAGATTCTCGTAGAAGAGAGCCACCTGTGCTTAGGGCTTGGTGCTGTGAGATGTGCCTGGGTTTTCTCTGGGATTTTGATGCTGGGACTGCGGGGCACTCAGCATCGAATCTCGGAATGCCGCAATAAATACTGGTGGTTCAAAGACAATGGCAATCAGAGTACAGCGCGTACGGGTAGATTTCCGGATACTTCAATGCGGACTCGACGGGGATGTTTCACTCATTATTCGGACTTCTGCATTGGACCTAAACATACAGAATCCCTGTGAGGCTATAAACCCCTCAGAGTCAAAATGAAACGGTATGTTTGATCACGCGGTGGATTTACATTTCAACAACCAAGTGAAAACTAATGCCTAAAAGCCGAAACCGACATAGAACCCGATCAGACTCTCTAGCACCCTGCCACTCTCTAAATCCTGAAGCCTTAACCCGAAACGCGACACTCAAAGGAGAGACCCGCGGGCACCACCAGAGCTCAGTACTGCATTAAGTGCATCAGGAGGCAACAGTCGAGGCTTTGCTGTTCAGCTCGCAGATTTATATAAGTTTAGGCTTGGCATGGAGTTTGAGATTTAGAGTTTTCTCAGGACTTTGGAGAGTCTCAGGTGTTTAGGGTCCAATAAGAGAGGACCCCAGCTGTTGTCTTCGATGTACAATGGCTAAGCCCTAGAGAACAAGACGTTGCTCCAAGACGCCTCGACTTTTCACAGCCCTCAGAACCCTGCCGCCCTCAAAATCCTAAACCTAAGACTTTGAGCCAGAAATCGTCAAGCCAAACTTTCTAATGGGCTTGCTAAAAGGTTTTACAGGGGCTCCTTTAAGGGTCATTTCTGGGTGATTGTTTTCCGCAACACTAAAGCCCCAAACTCTAAGCACCAAACCACAAAGCCCTACACCTTAAAGTTCTAAATAAACCCTACGCTCATACAGGGGCCTTAATAATTGGAATTGGGTTTTGGGGCCCATAAACCCTTAATCCCCGAAATGAAGCTGCAAATCAGGACCGCAAACAGCTGGGGCTCCGGCCACCTGCGGGTGGTAGACATAGATCAGAATCTGTCACGAAGGGGCCAAGGAAGTAATATACCCCCGGGCCGTTTTTTTTGGAGGATAACCCCCTAAACCCCAAAATTCAAAATCCCAAACCCTAAACCGGGGGTGTCGTGTCTCAGGATCCCTATGAAGCAGGATCCTCCTACTTGCAGGATCCTGGGACTTAGTAAGTATGGTTATAACTACTACCTTACTTGGGGTTATAGTTACTTTGAGTTATAGTTACCCTACTAGTTACTAGCCTTCGTTACTACGTTTCATGATCCTGTAAGTAGACCCTAAACCCCAAACCCTCATAGTACCCGTATAGACCCCTTAAGGCCAAAGCCTTGTAATGTGACATGATTCTTTAAGTACTTCTGGTCTAAACTGAACTGCCACTGCCTTGAAGGGCGTACCCTGAATGCGAAGCCCTCGAGCCTAAACCGCAGGTCTTGCACCCTATAAACCCTGAGGTTCAGGGTTTCGGGTTCAGGGTTCAGGGTTTAGGCTTAGAGTTTAGGGTAAACTCTAACCTTAGGCCCCAACACGCAAAAATGAAGCCGAAAAGCCGAAACCCAGAGTGATTGGACAAGATGTCGGGGCTTCCGATCGAGGGGCGTTCGCCGTCAGACTACTTCAAGGATCATGGGACTTCGTAACTAAGGTTAGCATAGGGGTATCTGTACTTGCAAATCTTATAAATGCTTATTTTAACCCCCCCCCCCCCAATTACGGTACTTATGACCATACCTACTAAGTCCCATGACCCTGCAAGTAGACCCTAAACCCTAACTAGTACTTTTAAAGATCCCTTAAAGGGACCCTTGTGCCTTACTAAGACCCATGACCCTCCAAGTAGTGCTTGCTCAAAAGGGCTCCATTGGCCTTCAGGGTCGGAGACTGGCAAAAACAAGCATTGGTGGCTTCTAGACCCTAAACGATATCATAAGGCTTCTATAGGGGTATCATAAGCGTATCATAAGGGTATCATAAGGGTCCTATAAGGGTATCATAAGTGCAGAAATCTGGCTTGCAGGCTTCAGCAAGCGGCATGCGACATCCGCAACGAACTAACGCCTTTTTCCTTCAACCAGGAGCCACGCTGCTGCACACGACGTGTGGGTTCACTAACTGACTTCGGCTGCACTACAGCGGACATGCACTCAGATCTAACCAACTAAGCCAAATCGACACTGACCAAAATCTCTTTTGGATCTGAGCACTTCCGCTTGGCAGCTTCTTCTTTAAAAACCACGCCGCACCGGATTTGTTCCCTGACATCCTTTGATCTAGCACCCTTCGTCAAACCATCAGCCAGCTGATGCCTAGTGGGAACCCAAAGGAGTCTGGCTTTACCTGATGCGCCCCGCGTGGAAAGCATCTGACGGAGAAGCACTGCATGGATCACACTCGACTTGTCAGATATGTGCTGCCCATCCTTATGGACCGTGTCATAAATAGATTTACAATCGGTAACAACAGTCATAGGCATTAAATCGCACCAACCATCATCATCGACACTACTCACAATCTGAGACCCATAACGAAGTTCACACATTAACACCTGACAAAAATGTCCCATGCCGAGCGCCATCAGAGCAGCATGCGTCTCTCCCGCAAAACTGGACTCGATCACTCTCTTGTTCGTACTACTGCGCCAGTCTATGATGTTGATGTGATTAGGAACCCCTTTCACATCAGTCGAGCCCTGTTTCACGAATCCAACGAACGCTCCTTTCTGAGAGTACACCAACCGGCGATCTTTCTGCGACAACAAAATGTCATCACACTCTCTCTCGTCAATCTCGACACCGACGCTCGAATACAGACCGGCATCCGTGTACACGATCAGCTGAGCGTCCCTACCCAAGTTCTTGAAGACAAGCTGCATGCGATTGGCCTTGACATCCTTCACAGTTTTGTTAGCACGCATCAAGTCAAACACTCTCAGGTCAGAGATACGTTTCTGCAGCTGATTTGTTTCGAAGGAACTGTCGGGCCTTGACTGGGTAGCCAACCACTGCAAGCTTCCAACAATGGATCTATAGTTGGCCTTCTCTTCATCAGTAGCGTAGCTTTCAGGATTCAAGCGCCTATCCCTACTAACTTCCATTTCTTCAAGCCGGCCATCTATGAAACCATCCTGAGACAGAACGATTTGTTGCTCGCCCTTCTGTTCGACAACCTTGATTTCTTTACCGCAGTAAGTAACACCCTCAGGCTTATCAAGGACCCTATCCCAGGTGCCGAACGGGAAGCGCTTGCACAGCCTACTGACCACTTCCTTCGCATGATCCGACCCGTCATGGCAAACCATAAGATCATCAACATGAATGATCATGCACCCAATGAGTTTTCCTTCGGAATCTCTCAACATGAAAAGTGCAGGGTCAATATGTGATTTGGTAAAACCAAGTTCCTGGGTCAAGACCTTAGCGAGCTCTTCGTACCACGCCCTAGGCGCGTCTGGCCGTCCGTAGACGGGTTTGAGCAGGCGAAGCAACTGATTCGATTTCACGCCTGCCAGTCCCTGTTTGGGTGGACGCATGAACATGGGTTCCTTATCTTTGAGAGGGGCACCTTGGAGGAACGCGTTCGAAATGTCACCGACATGCCAATGTTGGAGCCACCCATACGAGATAGCCATATGAAGGAATATCATAGTGGAGACTCTCTCAACTGTAGGGCTGTCCACTTGGACAAGGCCTGTTCTCGAATCAGGGCAGAGGTGGCCCTGCAGGCAAAGCCTAGCCTTAGCCCGAACCGGCAAGGCGTTACCCTTGTCATCGACGAGGCCCGCATGTTTGTTACGATAGACAAATCTACTTGGCAATATACGCTTCGGACTCTCTCTCTCCACTCTTCTACTCTCTTCCTCACTCAAGACCTCACAGCTCTCATACTGTCGCCAACTAGCCCACTCCTTCTCTTCCGCCTCCTTGTACAAACCTCTCTGACTCTCGGGTATCTTCTCATAGGGGATTTCTTTCTCCATCATCTTCTTCAGTTTATTCTTCCCCAAAACCTTCCCATGTTGAACGGTGTGGACCTGGGCATCAGCCTTCCTCCTCTTTATGGCCGCGGGGACATCCTCCAAACAAACCTCTTTCCTCGTCCTTCCTTGGAAACTAGTGATGAGAATCTCAAGTGGGGCATTGGGAAGATACTCGTGGGGGTTATCCAACTCCATCCACTTCACTTCCTTCTCAAGACAAATCCACTCGCCATCATGTCTAGCCCACGTAGTACGATACGGAAAACGATGAGGCTCATATCTCTCCTCGGGGGTCCGATAGGCCCAAGACTGATAGCTCACCAAAGTCGGGTTGCCTTGTCCATCCACATGCCATCCAAGCTTACCCACCAAAGGAACAAGATCCCGAGGAAGTTGGGTAATGCCCTCCTCAACATCACCAACCTCCCTAGCCACTTCCTGGACTAACGGTTGCTGCTCCACCTCCATAGGCTCTTCAGTGGGGTCCTGCTGGCGCGTAAGATCCTCAAAAGTAGATTCTTTAGGGGCTTTACGAAACATGGCAATGCTCTTCTGGATCTGGGGATCCCCGTAATGTCTCTCGTCTCCACAGGCCTCACGCAGATGCTCTCCCGCCACCAGAAAACACCTACCACCTATGGCGACCCAGGCGTTGTGACCCTGAATGCCCACAATATAACCCGGACCAACCCACCGACTGGGCTCTCTCTTTCTCTCAGCTCTCCAGAAGAACACAAGCTGACCAATGCGAGGATTCGTGATTTTACGCACACGATCATGAGCAGTTCGAGCAAGCATCTGACGGGCCTGAGCCTTGATATACTCCAGTTTGGCATGATACCTGTACCGCATCCTACGAGCGACTTCGCTATCAGCGTCTCCAACCCTCGGGTGATAAGCATGCGGCCCCCCTTGACTATGAAGTTCCCCATAGACTCTCGGTTCACGACCAAACACAAGAGCAACCGGCGACCAACCATGCTCTCTCACCAAAGTATTCTTAGCCCATCCAACCTCTCTCGCAACCAACTTCATATCCTCTCTGCCCTTCGCTCCAGTCTGTCTGATGACTGTCCTCAACATGTCTTTCACTGTTTGATTGTGACGTTCAACCTTTCCGGCCTGCCAATGAGCTGTCCCCGCAATGGACACAAGTGAGGTGCCTGCTTCCCCTACTTTAGTCCAAAACTCTTTACCACGAAAACCTCCCTCAAAATCAACAGTCACCCGCATAGGAGGTCCGGCCCACTTGGCCCATGCCCTATCAAAAGCCTTGTTCAGTTCAAGGGGACTGTGATCGCGAAGAAGTTCAATCATGTGGTAGCTAGTGGCCCTATCAATGACAGACAAGAACCAATGTGCTTCAGCTTTGCTGTCGTGCAAACAGATACAGTCCAAATGAACTTCATCTCCAAACACGATGGCACATGGAGGAATGCTACTCGCCCTGTGAGCTTTAGGTTTCGAAGAATGAGCACACGCAACACACTTCATCCACGTAACCGCCTCAATGACCTCTTGTTTAGCACCCCCTAACCTAAGAAACCGCTGAAGATCCTCCTTACTAGGGTGGCCTAAGTTGCAATGTGCCTTCTTCAAACCGTTCCGAATCTCAGGACTCAGTCTCCTCCCAGCCGGAATGTCGAAGCTGATCCCGTCGTGCGCCAGACCAGTTCTCATCGGAGCATCGGTATCGCCCATTGGAGCGTCTTCGATCAACTCATCTCCATCTGAGTCCTCCAGGGATGGGTTCATGGGCTGATCTGTTACGGGGCCCCCTGCACTAGAGGATCCCACCGCAAACACGGCATGCCATCTCGACAACGCTTTGGCTATGTTTTTCTCGTTCCAACGTAGATCTTGGACGATTGGTCGGTTCTTGTTAGCACGTATGCGTGCGGCAACATTTCTCAACATACGTCTTATCCTACCGGGATCTCGACGCCTAAGAGTCTTCACATAACCTCTGCATATTGCCGCCGCAACCCTGCTTTGCGAATCATTCTGAGGCACCCCTCCCTGTTGGGAAGAGGGCCCCGAACATCGAAGAGCCAACTCCTCACAGATTTCCACGGACGTGCTGAGCCAAAGGGTGGACTTCGTATTAGACACCCGATCACTGGCCCTCCTAGTTTCTTTGCAAGTTTCGCTGACTGCTGAATAGACCTCAGGATGATTCAACACTCTCTGAATCGGAGCCGACTTGAACGAAGCGCTCGCCACAGGGCTCTCAGCAAGAGCGTCATCCCCACGCTTGATCTGTCGCTCAAACACTTGTTCCGTGAATTGAAGAAACCACTGGTGCCTATCATAGATCTTCCGATTCCTACGGATCTCTTGCGAAGTTTTCGGTAAAGGCGCACCAAGAGACGACCACAAGGCGTGAGGATAACTCAAAACGACCAAACGTGGCTGACAGCGATCGATCCATTCAAGGAGTTTCACACTACCACTGGCATCATATCCGTCACCACCAAGTCTCAGGTCCAACGGACGAACAGCACTCCATCCCCATCGGCTAAACTTATGTGTGACTTGCGCTTCTCCATCACACACTTCCAGAACATCCGGTCGTATCATCGCCGACCTGGGAACAGACTGCATAGCCATACCGATGGCTGCTGTTGATGCAATCATCACGCTAGCAGCAAGCGCCTTCGCGTTTCCGAGGAGTCGTTTGAAAGTGCCTCGCTTCGCCAACTTACGACGTTCGTTGCCCTCTAAAATCCTACTTCGCACTTCCTGTGGATTCCTCGGGAGCCGCAAAGGTTCACAACTCTCATTACAAATCTCATCGGCTTGACTCCCGTTTTCACCAGAAATGGCTGACTCACCTGCCGTGGCGTTGGCCTCAGAAGGACCGCTCACTTCTCCTCGCTCGCTCTGGCCTTCCGAAGTTCCGCGATCACCTCGAGCTCCTCGGGCGTCAGGTTGGTATTGATCAAGGGAGCGGACTCTTCCGCCTCCGTCTCGTCCACCGGCTGAGCCCCTGTCATCGCCCAGGACCCATCGGAGGACCCGCCTCGATGCTCGCTCAACGAAGGAGGGGGACGACGATGGCTGATTATCCCTCTCTTGGGCTCCGGATAGCCCTTCTTGTCCTTCTTGTTGTCCTTCTCGTCGAGCTGCTCGATGACTGTCTTGGTCGGCATTCCATTGTACTGAAGCGGAAGCGTTTCCTTGCACATTGGGAACCGAACACATCCCAGGAAGTCTGTCTTCGTGACCCTGTTGGTCCGGACACACATAGGTATCTTGCAGCGAGAACACAGAGGAGTGTCGTGGAAGAGCTCTTCGGGCTCGGCCCCCTCCATCACCTCCGTCTCCCAGATAGAAATCTCCATGACCAACTGAGGCCGATTCCAACGAATCCAGTGTCGATCCCGGGGTCGTTCCAGATCTGGGCGAACATGCTCGTCGTAGATCTGCTTGAGCGACTCGACGTCCATCTTTTTCCATCCCGTCGGCAATGGCGACTGGGGCTTCTTCGGTCGAACCAGCATCCAAATCTTCTTCAGCCTCTCCATGTCGTGCTGCCGCAGCTCTGCTGTGCTGAGGTTGGTCCGCGCATTGATAGCATTCACGTACTCTTCCTTGCGACGCGGTGCTGTGAACTTTGCCGCCATGGGGATGATCTCGGTCACCTGCTGGAGGTTCTTCGCGATGGTCAACACTACACTCGGACTGAGCCACTGAGCTATCGATCACATGAAGCGGAGTTTGTTGTATTGGGCTTGCTACTTCACCCCTAAGTTCATGTGGCTCCTGGTCATCGGGTGAAGTCTGACATACACGCACTGTGTTCCCAGAGGTCCTGGTCCTTGGGACGGTGCTCAATGGAAAACCAAGTGCAGTCAACGTCTTTCGCGAAGTGGCATCAAGATCTCTCTCAGCACGGGAAGTGTAGCACGACAAACACCACCTGTTTCCGGTCCACGGCTGAGTGCCATGCGGAACCTTAGGCGACAGCATATACGGCTTGTGCCTCGTGTCGATAATCGTGCCAGCGATCCTCTTGCCTGCAGGCCCTTTTCGATACGTCGGCTTATCGCCTGATTCAGAACCCTCTGCTGCCACCCACAACTCTCCACCCTTGAAATCTCCAAAGGATACGGTGACTGTGGCACTGTCAGTCCTGTTGTGGTTATCCTTGTGGATGGCGGTCTTGATGTTCTTCATCACGACGAAGGAGGTCCAAGGAGCCTGGACCCTGCTCTTCATGGCTTCATTGATGTAACGAATGGTCACAGGAAATCTCTCAGCAGATTTTGCCACTCCACTGAACTTCCCGTGAGCCCATGCACCTGCCATGATGCCTGCCATGCGTCCGTTAGGCACGTTGATAGCTCTTTGATGTTTGGGATTGATACATGGTAGAAGTTCAACCACACTCTGCAAAGCATCGTATGAAAAATCCTCGACCCTGAGAAGCTCCTTGGCCAAGCGTTCACAAGCCATGTATTCTCCGTCCGACATGCCTCCACCCTCTTTGGCAACATGCACAGATTCATGGTGTCCTACCTCGCCCTGGTCATTTGATCGTGGGTCGACACAAACCTCCAATTCACCTTCCAGCATCTCTCGAGGAGGCAAACTCTCCAAACCTGGTCCGGAGTTGAGGTATTCAGGGTGGTTGATAAGGAACCCGCACAAACCAGTCGGTGTCTCTATCAGAGGGGTAGTGGTTCCAAGGACGGTGAACTCCACCTGGGCCTGTCCCAAATCCAATCGAGCTCCCAAGGCTTTGAGCGCGCTCTTACTCAAGAGGAGTGGGACCTCTTGATCCACGACACTGATTCGCACCCATGGTGTGCACTCGGCCCCCTGAACTCTCAACGGAATCACCATGCTAAACTCCGACGAAATCCGTGGTCCAGCTCCAAAACGGAAAGGCCTGGCCTCATTCACAATGTAAGCATCAATCCCACTCTGATGTAGATGCTTAATGTGATCCTGGGCCCACACCAAACCGGCAACTGACCTGGCGCAGCATGTGTCAGACAATGCCAGGAAGCGCTCACCTTTGCCCGCTTCTGGCGCCGTGATCGCGCTTGCGCACCAGAATGGCTCGCTCAGACTCACATCCCTAGCATCAGTCATGAAAATGCTGGCCTCCAGAGGTCCATATCCATCGGAATCCGAGAGCTCCTCTTCGACCACGGCTAAGACGCTTTCACCAGTCTTCGGAGGCTTCTGCGATCGGAAGGGGCACTCCGGATCGCTGTGCCAGTGGCCGTAGCTTGTACGGCCGTGCGATTTGCACGCGCTGCAAGGCATGCGCTGTTTCAGCTCGGCAATCCTCTTGGCTCTGGCCTCTGGCGTCTCATTCTTTCTGCTTGCCGTGCTCGAGAAACCCCTCGCTTTTTCCACCTGAGCTCTTTTCTTAGCTGCCTGCGTAAGCAAACACTGAAGTTCCTCCTCCAATGCCTCGGGGATCATATCATCATTATCTTCCTCGGTTTCCCCTGTCCCGATGTTCTCATCTTCGACGGTGGCGTGAACCTTCGCGGGGGCTTTTCTCCACTGTCTGCCTGGATTGGCACTGCCACCCGCTGAGCTCTCCTCCTCCTTGTTCACCTGTGGGACAATGGCCATGACAGCGGCCCGTAGCTTGTTGTAATCATACTGTCCTCCCGCAGCTGCCACCACCTGCTTCCTAAGCTCTGGGGAAAGCCCGGCCTTCTCCAGAAACCAGTAAGCCTTCGTGACCCCACTGAGTCCAGCCTGGATTTCCTCAAGCCTCTGTCCATGCCGCCGAAACTCCATGTCATAAGCGACAAACTCTTGTCCCCGAGTGCGGCGAAAGCCCTTGTAGAAGTCTGCCAGAGTCTGAAACGTTCTCAAGAACTCAAGCGGCTCCAGCTCTTTCCACAAGTGATCCAGCAAGCGAGTCACACCGTCCGGATGTTTGAGTGACTCCAAGGGAAGCGTTACCCGTCAACTTCTCCATCAGCTTCTGAGCCCTATAACTTGGATCTATACCCGTACTAATCTCAAACAGTTTGACTCGCCGCTGGTACTCCCTCATCGGTCCTGTGCCGTCGTACTCCGGAATGAAGTCTTTGCCACTAGCTTTTGACGAAGTTGCTTTGCTCGACGACCCATCGTCAAGCGAGCCTGTGCCTTCGCCCAGCCAGGGATCTTCCTCCATCGCCATCGTAGATGCAGACTGTCTCCGGCCTGCATCCGCGTCGTCTCCTGCTTCGTTCGCCGCTTCGGCGTTCCTCGTGGAAGATGGCTGAGGCCCTTGCTTCCAGGCTTCAGAAGTATCATTCCACTGCTTTGCTCGCCCCTGATCGCCGGACCACGATGGTCCCCATTGGCCGCTCCAGCCATTGCCGCCATAAGCCGCCCAACTGCCTCCTGCATAGGAGTTCCACTGCGGGCGTTGCCAAGCCCACCAATCATTCGCCGAATCTTGCCAGCCTGTCCACCAGCCAGCAGCTTGCGGCTCTTGCGTCCACGTAGTCTCAGCTGGAGACTCGCTCGTGGCTTCCGTCCCGTTAGAAGCCATGGAGCCCCTGCTCCGCTGCACCAATGCAGAAATCTGGCTTGCAGGCTTCAGCAAGCGGCATGCGACATCCGCAACGAACTAACGCCTTTTTCCTTCAACCAGGAGCCACGCTGCTGCACACAACGTGTGGGTTCACTAACTGACTTCGGCTGCACTACAGCGGACATGCACTCAGATCTAACCAACTAAGCCAAATCGACAATAAGGGCATCATAATAAGGGGTATCATAAGGCTTCCATTAAACCCTAAACCATAAGCCCTCAAGCCTAAACGCAGTCCCACCACCTTAAACCCGGAAGACTAGACCCTAAGCCCTAAACCCTAAGCCCTGAACCCTAAACCCTAAACCCTAAACCCTAAGCCCTAAGCCCTAAGCACTTCCGCAATGCTTCAGAGCCGCAGGCCCGGCCGTTTTCCCTCGCATTGCCCCCGCAGGGATCCCATGAGAGTTTCAGGGGGTTTGGGGTGATATAGGATTTAGGGGTTCAGGGGTTTAGGGTTTAGGGGTTCACGGGTTAAGGGTTTAGGGGTTTAGGGCTTTAAGGGTTGAGGGGTTGGGGTTCAGCGTGGAAGGAGTTCCGGAGAAGAATGGAACCCATCGTCAGCTGCCAATGGCATCCCAGCGCACGGCTCGGTGCCATCGGCTCCGATCCGGGACAGAAGTATGTACGTTCTCGTGGCTTTGCACTTTGCGAACGAACGGTCGTGCGAAGCAGAAGGTCCATGCGCATACGCCAATTCCTATTCCGACAGGCCCCGGGAAACTGCTGGACTACGGCCACATGGAGGATCATGGGACTTAGTAAGTAAGGATATAAGTCCCCTAATATGGGTAATAAGTTTATAATTACCCTACGTATAACCCTACTTATAACGACCCATAAACCCTAATCCCTATACCCTTCTAGAATCCCTAGAGATCCCTTTTAAAGGAACCCTTATAACTACCCATGAACCTCCGAGTACATGCTGTAGACTTAACCGCCTGGGGGATCGTAGTGCGAGCCAGGGGCCCCCTGACCACAGCCTCCCACCTAAGCCCCCCTAACCCCCTAAACCCCTAAACCCCCTAACCCCCCCTAGACCCCCTAAACCCCCTAAACCCCCCTAGACCCCCTAAACCCCCTAAACCCCCCTAAACCCCCCTACACCCTCCTAAACCCCTAAACCCCCCTAAACCCCCCTAAGCCCTAAAACTCGTCGGTGCACATCAGACGTCAGAGGGTATCCTCGGGCCCCAGCAGCTCCCCGGACTTTAGGAATGGATCTGAGGTCTACCTGTAGCCGAAAAGACCTACCTTTTAAGGAACTATATATAGAAACCATAATAAGGAACCCTAAAAAGGCAGGTCTTTCCGGCTACAGGTAGGGTTTAGGGTATAGGATACACTTATCAAGCTTTCGGGTTGGCAGGGTAGAGTTATTGAGTTGCAGGGTTTATTAGAGGTTAGGGTGTTATAAGTAAGTTGTAAGGCTTCTTATCCTGATGTGCGGAATTTTGCTGACGAAGGGGTCTTGTGCAATCTTGCCACCTCAGCCCTGACGCTAGCTTTCTCTAACCCTAGGACCACCACATTCCCAGAGACCCCGACATCCCTTAGCTACGGAGTATACCTTAAAATAGTAGGATCACTAATATGATTTCAAGCATATTCCTGAGTTAAGGTATAATGGAACCCCTAAACCCTAAGCCCTGTATCCCTTGTAGATCACTTACGGGAACCCTAGGTATTCCTTACGTAAGGGATCTTGGATTCTCATGGACCCGGGCGCCACTTTGGGACCTCCCTCCCATCTCCGCCGCTCGCTCTAACACCCCGGGAGGGCGTAGCGTTCTGTGACTCGGTTGATGATATAAATCCTGCATCACCGAAATTCCGAAAGGACCCGAGACGATGGCAGTTCTGGTATACTCCTTATTGTGGGTAATGCAGGATTTATATCATCAACCGTTAGGGTTGAAGGCTTAGGGTGGTTCTATAAGGGTTGTATGAGGGTTCCATTCGCCTCTCTGACAGTCACAAACCCTATATCCGAGACCCCAAACCCTCAACCCCACACCCATTACTTGGAGGTTCATGGCTAGTTATAAGTAGGGTTATAAGTAGGATAACTATACTTATAACCCATATTAGAGGGTCTTATAACCCTACTTGTAACTACCCCTGAACCTCCAAGTACCCTGTCATCCTTGCAGCATCTCGCCCCGTGCGAATTGCTCGCACAGGGCTTCCAAGAACTCAAGGGCGGCCTTTCTGGTGGACCAGGACAGAGTGTTCACCTGAACCGCATTACGTGGCTTTTTGGCTTATACTGCTGATGGACAAAATCCTGCATGGCCCTAAGGACTCTAAACAATGGGAATTATGGTATATTCCTTATAATGGGCAATATAGGATTTTGTCCATCAACAGTAGGGTTTAGGGTGTAGAGCTTTAGGGCACATGGCTTTGGGGTCTTACTTGCGCTGCTGGACTACTCCTGACCACGCATGACTCGCTGAACTTACCTGTCGCCTTCCTCGCGCTGAACCCAGCGAGCCCCCACTACCCTTCCATGGGGGAACATGGCGGAGAGTATACAAGGTTGTCTGCATGGTTTAAGGTGCGTGAATACTTGAGGCCGCCAAAGCCTTACTAAACCCTGAACCCTCAACCCTGAACTCTGAACCCTAAACCCTGAACTCTAAACCTAAACCCTGAACCCTAAGCCCTGAACTCTACCCTAAACTGTGAACCCTTCTGAACTCTGAACTCTAAGATCCGAAACCCTAAACCCCGAACCCTAAATTCTGACTCCGGCTCTCTGGAACTTTGTGAGGAAGGGCACCTTGTGTTTTAGGATGAGCACGGCCGCCACAGCAGGGAACAGTTGCTGGATTTTCCTTCCGATTCTTGCATCAGGGCTTTTGGTATAGGATGTAGGGCTTAGGGTTTAGGAGTTTAAGGTTTGTTGGTTTAGTGTTGAGTTTGAGGCTTTTGGTGTTCAGTCAGTGTTGAGTTTTAGGTTTTAGGTTCAGGGTTTATGGAGGGCCTGGGGGCTTAGGGTTCAGATAGGGCCTGGAGTTTCGTTCCGCATGGATTTTGGGCTGAGGGTTTTGAGTTTGGGATTTGTCTGCGTGTCTGCAGTCGGGCATGGAACTAGGAGTTTGAGTGTTGCAAACTTTTCCATGGCGCATCACAGGGGGTACGAACATACACTCTGATAAGACGCAAAAGCATCCGCAAGAACCATTAAAATTCAAGTTTCGACTGTATGCACGAGTGCGAGTGTGCTGGTAGAGTGCTCGGTACGGAGAGAAGGCACGAGAGTGATCAGCAATGCTGGGGATGAGAACCAGCACGAGAGGAACAACTTTAACAATACCGCTAATGCTAGCAGTAACAACAGTAAAATGTCAAAGCTATATAGGTGGCTGTCAAAATTATGGTCAATTTTGGGTACCCTAAATTTTGGTGCCGTACTATAACAAGGACCCAAAAAGGGATCCCAATTTTGACAACCACCCATACGTATAGAAGAAGTTCAGCCTTGCTACAAAAGAATAGAATCTCAATCACTGCAACCTGTGCTTCTCGCGGTACTGCCTCCTATATAGGGTGGTACAGCACGCCCCAGCCTACTAAACCCTACTTGGAGGTTCAGGGGTAGTTATAATTAGGCTTATAAGTCCTAATATGGGTTATAAGTATAGTTACCCGACTTATAACCCTACTTATAACAACCCATGAACATGCAAATAATAGTCCATGGAAGCTCAGAGAAATAAAGGTAAAGCCTTTTGAAACAATGGAAACCAAGCTACAACAACACGGCATTTTCCCCATCTTGTTCGGTGTGTCTGACCTAGTGTGGGGTCAACAGACACACTTAAGGCTAGAAGACTGGAGCTGTGTAACTAACCTTCTGAACAATCGACACAGTCCAAGGCCTACAACACGCCCAGGGTCTTTGCAGGAGCCGCCAGCGATGAGCCTGCCGATTGGCTGACTGCGCGGTTGGCTGCCACCCTGAGGCCGTAGACCAGGATCACCTGGGGATTTGCGGTCAAGAACCGCTTTGAGGAGGGACCATTTTCAATACCCTTAGTGCCTTAGTGACGAGGAGATTCAAACCAAAAGAAACCCTGAACCCTAAACCTGTGACTTGAGGCTTGCCTCTCGTTGCCTTTGTACAAAAGCATGCGGCCAACACCTAAACATTAGGGCTAGGTTCAGGGTTTAGCTTTCGGTGAACTCTTTCGGTGACAGGAACTTCAAGGCTGTGTACATGTAACCTGAGCTCTCTGTATGTACTTACATGTGTACCTTTGTTCGTTGAAAGCGAACCCTAAACCCTACACCTAAATCGTAAAGTTATGCAGACCAGTCTCGTGTCGGTCCTTGTCGCAAAGCACCTTTGCGGGGCGTGGCAAGAGGCCAGGTTCCCGAAACGGTGCCCAAAAAACAGAAGTTGCAGTACAGTTGAACTCTCTTCCATCATGCAGAGTGTGCGGAAGTGTGCAACTTCGAGGCTTCCTAAACTTCCATCGTGCTTACCGAATTTCGCAGCACGGCTCTAGGGGCTTCAGGGGGCTCAGAGAGCTTTAAGGTAAAGCCAGAAAGTTGGAACATGATTATCCTAACCCTTCTATGGTAAATTATAGGGTATATCCTACCATTATTCCAACTTTCTGGAGTTCCCTGTAGGACCATGACAGAGTTCGGAGGACCGCGGTCAAGTTGCATTCACTTCCGTTCTTCTGTTACTGCAGAGATCACCAGTCAAACGGTCTGGACGCAACCACGGAAGAGCACATGCCGACGAATGAGCTCTTGCGAATCAACGCTTAACCATGAAGCCTCACTCGCTAGTCATGGACAGACTAGAACTTGCGAAGCCACGCTGCATCCCCTCGCATCACGAGTAAGTGATCGCAACTAGGGTCTACGTACGTCTACTAGCACAGAAGGCTTATGCTTTAGGGCTACGGTTGCAACGATGTGTGTTGAGAGTTGTAGGTCTTTGGGTAGCATCGGAACTTTGGCTTGGAGTTTCAACCCAAAGCCCAAATGCCGAAAGCCCCATAAACCTCAACCTAGAAGCCAACCCCGTAAACCCAAAAACTTTCGCAATCATCCACCAACCTAAACCCTAAACCCTGAACCCTAAACCCCAAAACCCTAAACCCTAAACCCCTAAACCGGCCAAAGTGCCAGCGTTCGCACCAGGGCCGCAGCAGCCCTCTCTGCGACTGCTGCAGGACCCAGCCCCGCAGCGAAGCTGCGCTGAAGGAAGCTGAGGAAGAACGTCCTTGCATTCGGCATTTTTAGGGTTTAGGGTTTTGGTGTTGTGAGGGTTGAGTTACAGTCAGTTGAGGGTTTAGTTGTGGGGGCTGGGATTGTCTTTGGGGTCGACGGTTTGGATTTCAGGTTTGGGTTTTGGGTTAGGGCCGAGGGTTGGGCATTGGTTTCTGGGTTATGGCTCCTTGCTTTAGGTGCGGCTGCCGGGTCTGAGAAATCTGGAAGAGGTCATAGTCCCGACGGTTGAAAGTTGGATTGGGGCATCACTGGTGAGGCATAGGTTCCAAGCTTGCTGGTAACGGATCAGGAACGAAATCAGGGCTCTGGAGCAATCAAAGAACATTCGATCTGAGCTTTCAAAATAAAAGTGCACCAAACTCTACTTGCGTACACCTAATCCCACAATTCCAGCCGAGGCTCCCCTCCAACAGGTGTATGTGGCAAGGTGCGGAACGCCAATCTGAAAACTCGCCCGTGCCTCGGAAAGGGCTCGTGTCGGTTGGCTTTGATGCGATAAAAGGTGGATATCATAGTATATTTATGGTAGGGAGGCGGCCCAAAAAACAATAGCCGTAATTCCGTAATTATTTTGGCTTCTATAGCAGATGTCTCGTGATTAATTATCACATACATGCACAACCTGCGACGGGCTTCTCGAGAAAAGGCATGCATTGCAGAGTCAGTTCAACATGTGGCTGGCTTCAACGCTTTGGGTTTAAGGTTTTGCGGGGTTTGGGCGCAAGTTGTCGCGGTTTTCCAGTGCAGTGGATGGCTTAGGGCATAAATCCTAAGGTTAAGTTGAGTGCATGGTAATAGCCAGACACGCGGCGTGAAGAGAGGGTATACTTCCTACATCCATCGGGAACATGGTCTCGACTGGGAACTTGGGGAAGGTCTCCGAAGGTGAGGGTGTCCTGGACCGGATACCGAACACCAGTTCAGATGGAGCAGCGTCCATGACACACAAAATATTTTCGGCAACCCAGACACTCCAATATCCCTGAAGCAAGGAACATTCTGTATTCTTTGCTGCATATTAGGGATCGTACTACAACTCCAGGTACATTCTAATTAAGGGATACTGGAGTCTTTGGGACTATTCCAAAGGAACCCTTGACCCCACCAGGTCTGTGCTACATGCACCTCCCACGCTTAACTCCTTCCAAACCTACCTGATCACGGCGCGAGGCTCCAAACCACCACATCCAGGAATTGCCCCCGACTTGTGGTAAGAATCGTTAATTCTGGGCCGTTTGATAAGGGATCTTTAACTAAAGGACCTTTAGTACGGGGATAGGACCCTCATTTTGAGGGACCCGCTTGAGTCCTCGATCATAATACAGGCGCCTGAATGATTAGAACACGGTTTAAATGAAATGCAATTAGTATACTATCGTATGGTCATAAAATACTATTCCTTACTTTGGCACACTTCAGTGCATTATGGTATATCAGTTAACCTATATGTATTATACCGGAAGTAATCCGAATCATAGCAAAACTCGCATTGCTAGGACCTCATTAAAGGTAAACCCACGTCAAAGGACCCACGCGATTGCTGTGGTGTTTTTAAAGCAAAAGGGCAGATTTACCAGTGTAAAGCGATGATTCTGCTTTATCACCTCTTGTTTTGGGAGACAGCCTTGCGCAACCTCGAAAGTTTTCGGGTCTTGCGTTCGTCATTGTTTCACCTTTGTTTTGGCGGTTTTGCCAAGGCGAAAAGCAAAGTTTTGCATTTGATGGCTTGGTTGTCCGGCAACATGTCTTAGCACCTTTCCGGATAAAATGACCTTTTTTGCATTTCGGTCGAGGTTTGGGTTTGTGGGGTCTCGGTTTCGCCATGCCCTTGTAGTCTTTGCGGGGGCATCAAGGCAAAATTGCGGCTTTTCCGATGTAAAACGATGATTTCTGTTTTATCAATACTTGTTTTGGGAGACAGCCTTGCGCAACCTCGAAAATTTTCGGATCTTGCGATCGTCTTTGTTGCATCTTTGGAAAACAAGGTCGTTGGATGTTGTGTTTTAGCATAGAACTTGAAGGTTTTGGGGCTTGCACTGCTTCGCCAGGGCCTGGGATGCTGGTCTTCAGCTTACAGCGATCGTTTTGGGCTTGCACGGTGTCCTTGCGATCGGACGCCGCGCGAAACGAGCGTTTAAGGGTTAGGGTCTGCGGATATAGGGCTAACATGCTTTGCGCCATAATTTTGCGACACGCATGCGGACGTGACGAACCCATGCCTGAAGTAGACCCCAGACAAAACAGCGATGCAGGGGCTCTTGGTGGCCTACGCAACCCTGTTTCTTAGCACACCCATCTGTAAAGCACCATGCTGCTCGTGCAGATGCTTTGGAAGATCCGAAAATCTATGCTGCGGGACTGGCATCCGACACCAGCACTCTCTGCCTCTCGGACCCTTGACACCTCTCTGCCATACAAAGGTGCTGCAGCACGATATGGCCGGCTTTCGGGCCGGAGCCGACCAGATGCGGCCTGAAGGCCGAGCCTGGATGGCTAAGGCCTTCGCCGTACTTGAAGCGGCGGACAGTAGGCTTGTTTGCTCGAGACCGTCCGCAAAGCCTGTGCCGCCCGCGCACCCTCTTGCAGAAACTCCGGCGTTCAGGCGAAGCTTCAAGATCCTCTGGGGCAGGAAAGTGTCGTTTAACCTGTGCCAAGCACATGAAAAGGTGAATGCCTTTGGACTTAGAGCACCTCCAAGGAAGAGACGTCGGAGGTCTGTACATCGGAGATGACATACATCTACCTGAGACAGGGAAGAGACCCAAAGAAGTAGCAGTTTGGTCCAGACTAATTCACCAGAAGAAAGAAGGAAAAAACCAGAAGCCATTAAGGACCTCGTGGCGTGCAGAGGACATGCAACATGTGCAGAAAACGTAGGTTTTCAGTCTCCTGGATCGCGGTGAGTCTGCCAACTGGCAACGGCTGAAAGGCTCGGCATCAGCTGCCAACAGGTGGAAACGGGTCGCGAACGGCATGGGACTCCTCAAGACGAGAAAGGTGAAGAAGAGGAGGAGGCAACAAACGAACACACAAAACGGAACTCTCAACCCTGATTTTCGATAGTTCTCACGCCTCCATCTCACCCATGCCCACACCCCCTTGGCCCAGTCCATTTCTGTCTGTTCTTGCTGGCGTCGCTGGAGGAAATCTTCGTGGCGGAGTAGTGCTGGCGGGCCTGCTTCTTGTATTGTTTTTTCTTCAGGTGGTTCTTGTGAGCTTCTGCACCGCGGACTTTTGTCTTGCTGCGCTTGCCGGCATCGCCTGTGCCGCGAAGCTCCCTGCCCTTGGCAGGCCTGGCACCGAGTTGTGCTTTGAGTGAGCAACCCAAGGCAGCACGCGGAAAAGGGAAAGCTCGGCAGTTATGCCCCTTGCTGCCGCATATTCTGCAGAGCTTGAAGGTCTTCGCAGGCATGCCGCGAGAAAGCCTAGCCCAAAACCTGCGTTGAGCAGAAAAGACTCGCACATCGTAGGCATCTTGGTGTGCAAACGCACACCAGTGGCAACGAGGAAACCAGAGAGTATGTTCTTGTAAGACCATGCACTACACGTGCAGCAGCAGCGGCAGGTGCAGCAGCAGCAGCATGGCAAAGGTGGTTTGTGCAGCAGAACTACAAGTACGACTACTACCACCGCTGCTCCTCGAAATGCGCGGTAATGGACGTCGTCAGACAGAACGAAACGAGCCCTCCCCCCTCCCGCACAACACCCCAGAAGCAGACAAAAAAGAAGCAAAACCAGCGGGTCAATTGGTAGTGTGTTAGCTCAAACTACCATAACCTACTTTTTGTCGGTTCTTATTCTTATGAACCTTACTATCGAATCGTTGGGGACCCTGAGAAAAAATTGCAGGGTATGGGTAGTTCTCTAAATGAGGGTCCCTGTTTAGTTTAGGTCCCCAAAATAGTGCGGCACCCTGTTAAAAAGGACCTCGAAAGGACCCTATCTTAGAGAACTATCTTAAACCTATTCCGAACCCGCGGTTTAGGGTTTAGGGTTTAGGGCTTAGGGTTTAGGGTTTAGGGTTTAGGGTTTAGGGTTGGGATGGTATTCAAACCTCGATGTTGTCAGGTCCCAGCAGCCGCGAAGTTGTATCTGTGCCCTCTCTGCTCCACCGCGCGCTTCCGCATCGGAAAGCCTTGCTGCACCTTCTTGCGGCTTAATTAGGGTGTTTGAGCCACGCGGTTTGAGGCTTAGGGTCTGAAGTTCAGGGTTGACCCTAAACCCTAAACCCCTAAACCCCTAAACCCCTAAACCCCTGAACCGTTGACATTTAGGGTTTAGAGACTAGGTCATGGAAGAAGAGTCATGAAGACAGGTAGGGCAATCCCTTGTACGAGGGATCCTTACTTAATCTTACCGCCTTTCATCACACCTTGTGAGTGCCCCGATTTTCCAGGGGCCTGTGAGGTTTTTAGGGTGTAGGGCTTTTGCGTTGCGATTCGACATTCAGGGTCTATGCTGTGGGAACCATGGTTTTTGGCTTACGATGATCAGAAGTTTAGGGATTACGAATTCACTGCTTAAGGCTTCGATCTTCGGGCATTTAGCTTGCAGAGCCCCGCACTCAAGCCCCGACGCTCAAACCCTGGCGCTCAAAACTCTGCACCCTAAACGCGGGTTTCTCGCTGGGGAAGCCATTTGGGGGTTTTGCGGGCTTAGGCTTACTATAGGAGCCTGGACACTCCATCTGACCGTAAACGTTGTAAGGTGGCGTCCCTGCAAGAGGAGGGCTTCAGCAATGTATTTCTGTTTGTGTGGTGGCTTCTTCTCAAGGATCGTGGTCTGGGGCCCATGCTACAGGCGGGCAGCCCTGACACCCGACTGACTCTGGCCCCCTATAGAAGTAAGCTGAGGGGCGTATCTCCGTGGCAAGGTTCAGGGTGGCGCAGCGCACCAGCTGCACCGTAGGCAGCTTTAACTTTCCAGGCTCCTCCCAGATGCAAAAAGGCTGCCATTCGTGGCCACAGATGTTGGTCATTCGCATCTCGTACTTCAGCGTTGTCAGTCGCAGCACAAAGAATATAATGTGTGTTGCCGTTTAGTACCAGCACTGCCACGCTACCCAAGTCTGCCATGTCCATTAAAGTTCTTGTAGTTGTTAGTGAATATCGGTACGATCAAAATTACCATCCAACCTTGCTTCTTGGCACTATAACATAATGCTCTACGATGCTGTTCGTGGGCGTCATGCTCCGGTGATGGTCGCTGTTCACACAAGTACCTCCCGTTTTGTGCAAACGGTTTTTTGTAGATAAGGAGGATGCAGACGATGATGATGAGGAGGAGAACGAAGGTGGGAATGACGCTGAGAGCGAGGAAGAGGATGCAAAGCGAAGACTCAATCCGTCAACTCGCACCTTCAACTTCCAAACCCCTAGCCCCCAACAAAACCAACCCTAAAACCAAAAGACAATACATCATCTTGATTTAACAGTCCTAAACCCCACAGTAAAAAATTAACCAAAACCCTAAACCCTAAACATCCCTAAACCCTAAACCCCTAAACCCTCCACCCTAAGCCATGGCACCCTAAACCCTAAACTCAAAACCCTAAACCCTAACTAAACCCTAAACCCTAAACCCCTAAACCCTAAACCCTAAACCCCTAAACCCTAAACCCTAAACCCCTAAACCCTAATTCATCCCTAAACCCTGAACCCCTGGCCTGGCTTGTACCCCCAGCTGCTGCAAACACTTCGCTAGAGAGTTGCACGGCTCGCGCTTCGTCGGTCTCTCCATCGCCTCCCCGAAAATTCCAGCGCGTGGGTGCTTGAACTCTTGGTTTGGGAGTTGAGGGTTCAGGGTTTTGGGTTTGGGTTCAGGGTTTTGGGTTTGGGGGTTTGGGGATTTAGGGGTTTTGGGGTTTTGGGTTCTGGGTTTAGGGGTTTAGGGCTTCCCAGAGACTCCAATATCCCTTCAGGAAGGAATATACTAAAATTATAGTAGGATCCCTGATATGATTTTAGGTATATTCCTTAATTAAGGGATATTAGGGTCTCTAGGTTTAGTTGAAGGTGCAGGGTTTTGGGTAGAGGGTTTCGGGTTTTACTCATATGCGGGCTTAGGCTTAAGGTTTGGGGGTCTGGGGTTCAGGGTTCCAATATCTTACCTTTGGTTAGTAGGGAATGGAGGAATGGGTACAATTATAACTACTATTACTACCATTCTTCCATTCCCTACTAACCAAAGGTAAGATATTCAATTGGGTTTAGAATTTTGAGTTTACTGTCAGGGGCTTGGCGAGGGTCCCGATATCAAGTTCAAATCTCGTGATGGGAGACAAGTAGACCCATCGAATGTCCCAGACAGACGGACATACGAAATTGCATATCTTCTGTTCCTCGGTGGGATTCTGGTCCACGGTTGCGAAGATCCCACGCCAATCCGTGAATCCAGCGTCTTCGATTCTGCCGTTCGACGGGGTATCTGTGTGCCGGAATTGTGGCTTCTGGCGCGAGTAATATTTTCTAAAACCTGCAAGAATTCTGAAACGAAGCTTCGGTAAATCAGATGTTGCTTGGACAGAAATCATGAAAAAAGTTGAAGGTTCTGAAGTTCAGGCATTGAGTTCTGTCAAGGGCCTTGTGCGTGACAGAGCAGCCGCGCAAGCAGCAAGCTGCGACGACGCGTGTCGCGGCAGGCTTCGTAAGCCTTTTGCAGGCTTCCGACCTCAGGAGGAGATGTAATAGAAGGGCCTTTGTAATTACCTATACTAATTCGGTGGTTCCTCATTTTTGTGGTAGTATTATTGGGCCCCAAAACCCTATTCTAATTGCTTAGGTCCCTAGATTAGACGGAAAATAGAAGAAGTCAGGTCTAGGATACATAGATTCCCGTTAATGGGATTATATCATTGTATCTCAATTCGAGCGTTACAACTCGAAGCCGAAGGGAAGTTACCTGCAGCGCAGAATGTCCCGTGAAGTACCGGCAAGACCATCAGCTCAAACCCCAGATTACTCACGCCCAGCCCATGCTGTCGCCACTTCTGATTGCTGCTGCTTCCACTGCCGCTGCCCCTCCCGCTCATGCTCCCTGTGATGATCCTGCTGCTGCTGCTGCTCCTGGTGTTAGTGGTGCTGGTGGTGGTGGTAGTCGTGGTGTAGTAGTAGTAGTAGTAGTAGTAGTAGTAGTAGTAGTAGTAGTCGTCGTCGTCGTCGTCGTAGTAGTAAAAGTAGTAGTAGTAGTAGTAGTAGTAGTAGTAGTAGTAGTAGTAGTAGTAGTAGTAGTAGTAGTAGTAGTAGCAGCAGCAGCAGGAGCAGCAGCAGTAGTAGCAGTTGTTTTTGTTGTTGTTGGAGTTCATAAATGTACGGGTAGAAGCAGCGATACCAATGCATCCACGACGAGCTCTACCATCGATACTGCCACTGCTTCTTGTGCCTCTTCGACGAGGACGACGAATACCATGGTTCGAGCAGCTGCGAGTTCCGCTGAGACGCTTATGGCTGATTGCATCGCGGTACAAGTTGCTGTGAAGCTTAGGTAAAGGCCGCAGGCCTAAAGACTAAAGACCCGGTGCAGTAAACCACGAAATGTGCCTGCAGGGAATTGGGGGAAGGCTTTCAGCCAGGCAAGTCGCGGATGGGAACCGGCATCCGATGGCATCCATTTCCCGACCTCGTCTTCAGGTTTTGTAGAGCCTGTATGGGAGTTTCCCAAAATAGGGGACCCTAATATAGTACCCTAACTAGCAGGATCCTTATTGCAAGAACCCCAAAATAAGGTACCCCTAATTTTTTGAAGTCTCCCGGCATATAACTGCATTGTTAACATTCTTTAATTTTCATACCTCCACAGTCAAAGCATTGCCGCGAGCAATCCCAGGCCAAGTCTAACCTTTAGGGCCTTATCACGTGATGCTCAACAAAGCAGCAAGGCAACCCTAAACCCCTAAACCCTTAAGCCTTCCTTTCGCAGACTACAGACTACTTGACAGACCCCAGGCATCTTCCACTCGCCGACCTTCTTCCAATGGTTAACAGGTCTGAAGATGCCACGGTTTAGGGCTTGGGGCTACGGCCAGGGTTTAGGGCTTCAGGGTTTAGGGGTTCAGAGTTTAGAGGTCAGAGGTCTGTTCAGGGTTTAGGGTTCAGGGAGTCGTTCTTTCTGTTCAGGGTTTCGGGCTAAACTCGACAATGGAACTGTGACATGCTTCGAATCTACACTCCAGACCACCCGAACCCCAAAACCTTGAAGCCTTATACAAACAAAACCCCGAGCCTTTGCACCCTCAATCTACCAAAAAAACCCGTAACCCCAGCCCAGGCAGACATGTCACTGTTGAAGCCAGCAAGCCGTCCAACCTATCCCGCGAGGGCTTGGGAGTGTTCGGAGCGTCGGGCTCTCGGGTTTTAGGGTTCGGCTAATAGCTTGCGAGTCCAGGAATTTAGCGGGTTTGGTGGTCTGGAGTGTTGAGGTACTGGATAGGTTTCGGAATTAGTGTAGAGAGCAGGCCGAAAGAGTTTTAGGCTTTGGGGCATGGCTTTAATCCCCTAAACCCTGAACCCTAAAACCTAAACCCTAAACCCTAGGGTCTGCTATAGATACAATGGGACCTAAGCAATACTATGACAAACTGCGCGGATTCCTGGGGTGTCATGGGGTTTCGAGTTTAGGGGCCCTGTTATTGAAAAAGTCCTACACTCAAGCAATGAGGTTTAGGGTTTAGGGGCTGCATCAAGGGCCTCTTCAAGTGCTGTGAGGAAGATTGCTGAATGAAAGACTTCTGCCGAATGAACAGGAAGAATTGCTGTTCAGGGCTACGCCCGCTGTGTCGGGAACCACTGGTGTGATCTGAAGCTGCCGCCCCTGAACCCTAAACCCCAAATTGGGGGTCAGATCTCCCCAAGCAAAAAGAGAACCGAAAACTTAAAGGACACTTAAGAAAAGCGATTGTGCACAAGACATGAAACTAACAACACACACACACACAAAACCCTCCAAAAACACAACAAAACAACACACACATGTGTCCCACTTTCGGCTTTCTCTGTCGGCATATGACTCTCAGAGAAGTTCCACGGGGACACGCTGCACGAAATTTGTGCCTGGTTGGTTTTGGCTCCAGGTTTGTTCATTTACAGCAAAGGAAGGAAAATACACGTTGGACAAAAGCCTAGAATGCCTCATGACCATAACACTCCTCTGGTGACTCTCAGCATTTTCCTGGGACAAGCATTACAAGTATAAATGATTTTGACTACGCTTAATGTTTTCTGATGCTTCCTGATTGTCTGCCATTGCCTGATGAATGCTAGTGTCAAGACAAAAGACACTCCTTTCCGAAGAAACCCCTCAAGATCTTATAAGACTAAAAGGTACAGCCTAAACTCTGAACGCTTAAGCACTCTGAAGTACTTATTGGCGGGGAATTTCGAGGTTTAAAGGCTGTTCTGGCTATAAGGAGGCACCAGTTCTGGCAGGCTTAAGTGAGAGTTTCGATGCATGCGTACAACAGTATCTAGTACACAGTGCAGTAGTACATGTAGGATATAGCATACAATATATAGTGTACAATAGAGAGTATATAGTACAATTAATAATTGTAGAAAGTATACAGGGCCAGAAAGGGGACGTTTTGAGAATCCTGTGTTACTTAATGCTTCCCAGACTTCCTGACACTCCCAAATCATCAACCGCAAAACCTCCTCCACACAAATGGCTTGGACCATGACGTGGAGCTTGACGGCTCAAGGGCAAGAAAACCCTCGAAACCCTAAAAGCGACTAAGATAAGGGTTCGTGTCGTACCGAGAAAACCTTGGTGGTCTTGACTAGGTCGCCTCTAAAAGCGTGCTGTGCTCGGCATCGCTGGTGTCAGCCGCACTTCCTTTGAATTGCGATTTGCCAAATCCGTGGCTTCAGGGTCAGGGTTTAGGGATTTTGGATGAGACCAGGGCTCATGAGTTCAAGGTTACCTTTGGAATGTCAGCGGCTTGCTTTTTCATATTTGAAGCTCAAGGACATCGCATCTTCGCTTGAGGAGTGCTGAGACCTTGAGCGATTCTCAAGGTCATGGCAGAAGACAGCGAAAACAGTACCGCTGCAATATGGAGGCCGCGATAACTCATTCGCATAGAATAGGGCATGGCGGAGTTGCACCATAGTTCTAGAGAGACTTAAAGGGAATACATGTACAAATGCTTCGTTCTGCTTCATCGGAACAAGCATCGCGCACTCCGCCCGTCAGTGGCCTAAAGTTCCACAGATTCGAAGCAGTTGCGAACCCATCATTCACAGCTTCGAGCTTGAAATACCGAGTCCATGCTACCCGAGGAGAAGCTGTACACATCCACTGCACAAACATACCAAGAGCTACTCACAGAAAGGCAGCAACAAATCATGTAGCTGTTTCACTGCTAAACCCTCTTGCGCATTCTCCAAAACCAGGCAGTCCACGTAAACGAGAGAAACAATCGTGCGTAAATGGTTTAGGGTTAGGTGTGTTGGGTATGATAATAGTAACCTGAACCCTACACCCGAAAAAAGCCAAGGCTTAGGGGATCCTTCTGCAGAAAGTTCACGAACGAACTCAGTAGAACCAAGTCTGTACGATGTCGTACCAATTCCATGCTTAGAGAACTTGACAAGACTCATCAGCTACGGTCATCATCGCGACAGAGCACTAGCCGATCCAGACCCTTAGACGCTGAATCCTACGCCCTCTCAAAGCTACCTTGGCACCTCAACACTAAGAAATGCCTGAAACCCATGCCTGAAACCACAAACCCCCCTCATGAACCCTGAACCCAATGTGTCTAGACCAACAGTCTAGACTCTACGGTCCTACAAGCTAAACTTAGCCTCCGAATGTCGACATCGGAACACAGTCCACATTGCCAAGTGACTCCATCTGGACAGGGGTGTAGACAACTCCTCCAAGATTCGGTCGGCTTGACAGTTGTGTGATGAGGGCTGGCTCTCTTAAGGTTCTACAAGGGTTTCTTACGCCTGTTTGTGTTGGTGGTATAGTTTGCGGATAAAGGTTTGGGGGTTGGGGTGCAAAATCTGGCTTCTGCTTGTGCAGGGGCCCATTCATGGTAAATCCTACTCAAACCCCCCCAAACTACGAAATCCCCAATCCTACAAACCACTGGAAACCACAAAAATCAAAAAGAAACAACAACTTTGAGAACCCGTCCGCACCCCTTACAGCAACCTTATAGAAACCTGCAGACAACCGCTTGTAGGACTCATTTACCCTTGACACTAAACCCTAATACTTAAACCCTCAACCTTAAACCCCAAACCTTAAACCCGTAAACCCCATAAAGCTTAAACCTTAAAACTCAAACGTGACATCTTAAATCGTAAACAATCCCAAAGCCTCAACCTTTTCGGGTGCCCAAACGAAGCCTTGGCCCACGCAGAGTCGCGGAGGACCAGGGTCCAGGCACTCAGCCAAGCAACGGTGTCCTGGTCGCTGAGGGTTTAGGTTTAGGATTTATGGGTAGGGCTTCGGGTAAAAAGATTCTTGTTTTGAGGGCTCTTTTCCGTCTGCACGCGGGTAAAAAGGTTTAGGGCGTAGGGTTTACAATTCAGGCTTTGGGGCCGGCGTCGTAGGATCTAGAATCTAAGGTTCATGGCCCGAAAACCCCCAAAGTACAAAACCCCGAAAGACTCATTAGAAGTCCAGGCTACCCAAGACCGACCGCTGTGGCTACAGATGGTTTCCATGATAATCCCGAGCTCCAGCAAGGACTGGATCTGCGTCGAAGATTTGAGCCTCAACAACCTTCTCATAGAAGCTTACGCATGTGCACACATGGGCCTCGATTTGACAATGATACAGCACCTGAGCTACTGCAACAAGCTCGCCCAGGAGCTCGCCCAGGACGACAATGTCCCAAGTGGAAACGAGCGGGCAACGGGGTAGCTCAGCCTTTCAGCTGATTAGATAGCCAGTGGTTCCATCAAGGCCAAAGTGGCTGGCAAAGGCTCGCATCAGTGGCTCGGGTGCGGCCTTGGGTACCGGAAGCTCTGAAGTGAAGTTGAGCGAAAGCCTGTCCCATGCGTCAAGGTGAGTCAACTCCATCTCCCGCATGAGGCCGTGTTCTTTGCCTGCACGGGCACTGGTCTGATTGTCAGCATATCGCTTGAGCTCTTTTTGCCGCCTTTCGTGGGTAAGGCAAGCATTTCGGATCTTGTGGTGTGACGACTGCCCTGCGAGGTGCATGGCCGACTGGCCTTCAGAAAGAAGGTGTCATCGGGACATAAGCTTCAACATGCTTCTCCAGGTGAGTCTTGACTGCACTTGCGAGATCTGCTGTCTCCCTCTCGCCATGCAAGGTCCACTGCAGAATGTCCAGGCACTGGCACAATAACAAGAAAACAGGGTCGGCTCCTCTGTGTTCGTCAGCCTGCACTAGATTCGTTCCCAAGCCGAAAGTTAGAAGCATGTCACCCACTCTGGAAAGCGGCACATACCTGAGGAGCTTGCGTCTGACGACGCACCGCAAGCCAGCGACGTAGAGAAAGAGCAACATTTGCACGAGTCGTGAGAGGGCCTCACACCATTCCGTCAGGCAAATCATGAATGGGACTTTGCATGATGTGGCACGTTGGTGCCATGTCGTCCAGTATCGCCTTTATGTGAGAAGAGTCTGCGCAGTAACGGCACGGAACTAAGCCAGCAACGAATCAGGAGACATGCAAAGTCGAAGCAACTTTGCATCTCATCAAATCTCATGTCCTCGGTACTTGTTGAATTCGTGGTTTGCGGCAACACCTGTACTCGCAGATGCACAATGCGTCCGGTTTCCAGCTCCGAGGGGCCCCGATGTCGAGGTCCCGCGAGCCGAACTCCACAACAGACGACTTCTTGCGACACATGTTGCGGCGATACGTGCGCGTGGGTCTGCCCCACTCAGTCGGATCACCCGAGTCAGTAAGAGCCGAGTCGTCTAACAGAGTGAAAATCTAGTCTGTTCAAGGATTTTAAATGAAAAAACAACACGGAACAGAAGAGAGCAAGGAATTCCAGAAGCAGCAGATTCTGTCCATGCACCGCATCCCGCTCGAGTGTTGTACAACTGGCTGCAGTTAAGGACAGCACACCAGGACTCTGCCAAGTACAAGCCCGCACGCGCTTCCTGACCAGCATAGCTCATCCGTCACTCGTAGCTGAGCTGCACAGAACTCGACTGGGGCAACCGCAATGAAGTTTTTTTGTCAGGCTTGTATACAAGTCCTTACGGCTCAGGTAGGGTTTGGGGTTCAACAACTCTTAAGCTCAAATCCCATTGTTTGTTTCTGCGCACGCAAGATGCGATTTGATTGTCTGGAATTGCAATCCGTGCTGTACTACTACTCGTATCACAAGTGTTGGCAGTACTGTGATTGTTGCTATGTTGCAATGGAAACCCTAAACCAGTATGGCATGCCTGCCCCATCACTGGCACTCTCAAACCCATATATAGAGACACATCAGTCGCACACCCTCAACCTAAATTACCAACAAATGTGAGCAGTTCGTACCTATACATACGGATCTCATGATGATGCCCGTTGTTTTTCCAAAATCCTCCTCATCCCCTTCTAATCCCAAAGCTCGGATCTTTATGTTCAGTTGCTAGTTTAGGCTCCTAGTTCCACCCACAATCAACTCTCGGGTCTACCTTGGCTGTCAAGGGAGCCTTGTTGCAGGCGTTTGCAGCACTTCTTGTCTAGCTTGGGAGGCTTCTAAGGTGCAGAGAATTTTTAAAATTCTTTACCCTGATAAACCCGTAGACTACCCTGTAACAGCCTGTGAAATACTATGAAACCCTATAGAATCCTAACCGTATGATAAGCCGTAAACCATGCGCCCTATGAAACTTTCTGGAAAAGCATGAAATCCCATGAAGCCACGCAGGCAACCTCTCTGAATTCTCTGCTGAGCATCCACGGGATCACTGGACAGGAGCACGTCGCACGGAGAGTACCTAGCTCAGAGCTATACAGACCTGTAGTTAAACCACAACATCTTAAAGCCCTGCACCCTGAACAGCTCGCAGCACCTCTACTTGGAGGTTCATGGGTAGTTATACGTAGTGTTACCAAAAAGGGTAATTATACTTCTGACCCAATTAGGGGACTTATAACCCTACTTATAACTACCCCTGAACCTCCAAGTAGTACCGTGAACACTTAACACCTGAAACAAAAACCCTAATCCTCTAAGACCTCCTACCCCCGAAACCAACCCTAAACCCTAAACCCTAAACCCTAAAGCGCTCAACCCACGGCCCAGAATTCTATCGACAGGTTCTGCCACGTGTCCGACCTCAGACCTACGAAGGATCACGAAACTATATTCTGTCATATATTTTAGATTATAGGTTATGTATTATATACCATATGTTGTATCTTGTATAGTATGGCTTCAGGACTCTACCATGCCCCATGGTACCCCCGAAACCACCACCATGATGGTCAACGTCTGTGGTTAGATGCATTGCCGGGTTCAGACACACCTCAGGGCCCACAAACCTTAGAGTCACACACCTCGAAACCTCAAACGGTCATCCATGAACCCTAAATCCTAAACCCTAAATCCTAAACCCTGAACCCCAAATCCTAAACCCTGAACCCCAAATCCTAAACCCCTAACCCCAAATCCTAAACCCTAAATCCTGAACCCCCACCACCCCAACTGAAACCGAGGGCCAAGGAGCCCCGAAACCCGATTGTTCCTACGCCGAAACTCATGGAGCTTATGAGGGTATGAGGGGTTTAGGGTTTAGGGTTAGGAGGTTCATGGGTAGTTATAAGTAGTTTTACAAAAAGGGTAACTATACTTATAACCCATATTAGGGGACTTATAACCCCACTTATAGCTATCCCCGAAACCCAGGGAGCTGCGGCAAGAGCACAGCACTGTCCAGGCCAGCAGTTCGAGAACATCCTACCGGGTTTCGAGTTCAGAGTTTAGTAGTAGGGGCCGTAGTAATTTGAATACGGTTTTGGGGCCGCCCATTATACTATACTATGCTTAAAATAAAGGGACCCCCAAAATAGTACGGGTAATTATTTAGGCCCCTGGTTTCGGTACTTTGTTGAGGGCCCCTTTTCGATCCGCATAAACAGCCTTCCGAAAACCCCAAGGCGTGGGCAGTTTTGCACTTACTTGCAAAGTCAGGATATAGGAGTTCCACAAAGGGTTCCTTCGCGGCTCTGAGGAAGCTGTATAATTATGGGTTTTCTTACGGGTTCTATGAGGCGTTAAAAAGGGTTCTAAAGTATGTCGGGATTAATGAGAGTTTTGTGCGTAATGTGGGGGCTTAATAATTAGAATAGGGTTTTGGGGCCCATCATATCAATTACATGTATAATAAGGAACCTTATAGTCAGGGGGTCTTGGTTTGCGTCTTTCGGCATTTGGCGAAAGGGGGCTGGGAGGACTTGCGGGCTTAGGGATTGCAGAGGTATGGGCCTTTGCTTGTGGATGCTTAGGAGCTTTCAGAGACTCCAATATCGCTCAATTAGAGAATATACCTTAACTTATACTAGGATCCCTAATATGATTAAAGGAATAAAGGAATATTCCTTAGGGTTGATGTGCCATTGATTAAGACCCAAGAAAGCACATTAAGCAAAACTTAGGATAGTGATATCCCATATGAACCCCCTTCTAATGAAGCTCAAGAAGGAAGGGATATCCCCAGAAAGTGCTTATGCTTCTGTGCTTTTGGGGGTCCCTAATTCATGGCTTCTGACGCCTTCCCTAAACCCTAAACCCTAAACCCTAAACCCTAAACCCTAAACCCTAAACCCTAAACCCTAAACCCTAGACCCTAGACCCTAAACCCTAAACCCTAAACCCTAAACCCTAAACCCTACAGGCTCAGGCTTTCGGTCACTAGGGTTCTAGGGTTCTCGGGCTGGGAGCTCAAAGAGTGTACTACAGGGGCCTTCTAGGGATCTATAAGGGTTTAGGGGTTTAGGGATTTATTTTGAGTTACCATAGTAGTGATCTATAGTAAATAATATGGTTTCCTGATTTTGGTAACTTCAACCCACCCTTGTCCTTTTAGAAATAATAGACAGAGCCCTATACCTATATCCCTTAGTAGGAACTATTTAAGAAGGTCTACTAGCCGATCTGTTTATTCTTTGGGGGGCAACCATGAAAAAGGACAAGGCTACTACAGGGGCCTTCATAACTGGAGTAGGTTTTTGGAGTATATTATACCTTAGAGGCTGCGTACCCGATCCCAGAGAAGGCTAACCTCTTCAATTATGGTAGGGTTATATGAACCTCACAAGGTTAAAGGTTACCTACCCGAGCCCAAAGAAGGTTAACCTCTTCAATTATGGTAGGGTTATATGAACCTCAAAAGGTTAAAGGTTTCCTACTCAGCTCCTAAGATACCATGACTATAATTTCAGTAAGGAACCTCAAATCAGTTGTAGAAGTTCTTAGCCCCTACCCAGACCATTGGGAGGATCCGAAAAGTCGATCCCTTAAGGGTAGTACGGGGTTCTATAGTAAGGTTCCCCTTTACTGGCACTGTAGGGCTCTAAAACAAGGATCCCATTAAGAGAACACCAAGACACCCCTTGCAGGACTAAGGGAACCCTTAAACTAGGATGCCCAGTAGGATCCCTTTTTGGTATTGGGTAGCTTGATAAGGAACCTAGGACTACAAAAAATGGAATAAGGGTACTACGGTTGATGATATAAATCCTGCATTACCTTAAGGACCCTAAACTATGGCACTTTGCTGCTTTCGGTCTTCACTGAAGCATCCTCCTGGTCTCGCAACGCAGGATCCGTGGAGCCACGAGAGAAAGCATCGGCTCCATATGGAATGGCCTGCATCATTAACCTACTTGTCGGGTATCATTGGGAACTAAAGGTTAATGTCGTTTACCGATTAAGATACCCCCCCAGATTAGACGGGGCGGTCCCGGGCATTTCATGGGCTTAATGAAGAGGTCCATTAGACCCCACCCCTATAGTACCGGAGCTCATTTAAACCCCCCCCGATTAGACGGGGCCATCCCCGAAAATCCCCGAAATAAGGATTTAGGGGATTTAGAGGCTTATGACTTAACCCTAAACCCCAAACCCTGAAGCCTAAACCGTAAAGAACTCATGATGGCAGACTTTTCCTCATTGGACCAGCTCATGTCCAGCAGAGCTAAGCTTGTACTTAGGGGCAATGTTCCTGCCCAATCTGCGGGCTTCCCTCCTCATCCAGTATGCGAGGAGCTTACCCTCATCGCAGCTCAGGCAGCCTGAGGCATGCCGGCAGCGGCTGCAGACTCCAATCTCATGGAGTTCGATTCGATTTCTCTCATCCCAGTATGCCTGGGGCATGTCCTCGATCTCAAGGACTTTGCCTTGGCTAATGACCTCATGGGCCATCTTCTGAAGCGCAGTCAGCTCAAGGCCTTTGCTCATGCGTTTCTCAGCCATGGCCGCCATGTGCTCTCGCTCTTTTCTCATCCTGGGAAGCCCAGGAAGAAAAGGGTCCCTGTATGTCTAAGACTAATTACAAAAGGGAAAATGGGCCTAAATACTAAAGGTCCGAGTATCTTGATTCCCAAGGCCTCCTCCTTCTTCTTATGCTGTTTCAGCTCATCCAGTCGCTTGGTCTGCTCAGTGCGGAGAGCATTTGTGACCTTATGCAGCCGCTCATGCCACTTCTTCGCCGAATGCGAAGGCCACCCAGTGCTGGCCTTTCCAAACCCCATGGCCTTTGCGGCCTCTTGCTCCATGGCAGCCAGAACATGGAATCCGCACTCATCGACTCCCTGGAAGACCTTGTTCCTGCGAGGAGGCAGCACCGCCTCATGCACCAGGCCCATGGAGAGCAGGGATGCCAAGATTTTCTCAGCGTAGTCCCTGCATCGCTGGGACTCATCCGGCAGGGAGTCATAGTACCTCAGGGCTGGCTCTGCGTGCGAATGCGAAATAAGGAGTCCCCATGCACAACTCTACCTTATAATAGGGAAAAGGAGGAAAAAGCATGGTGTGCCTCACTTTGGGAGTCTCAGACTCATGTGTCGCATCTATGACGAGCAAAACCCAGTGCCCAGCAGACCCCAGGGGGAGGAAGTTCAGTGTATGAGCACTCATCTGCTTTTTGATGCACTCAATGAATGCATCCACATCCACTTTGGCATTGTCATGATGCAGATATAGTGGCTGTGTCCATCCAGGACTAATGAAGCCCATGCTCTTGCAGGGCATTGAGCTCTGGAGCATGTGCCAAAGCAGGACTCGCCAGCCCAAATGCAGCTGTTGCAGCTCTATGCCGCCGGCCTCAATGGCTGGGTATGGGAGGATGTGAACCTGCTCAAGCCCATCCAGCTGATCCAGGTCCTGGCTCAAGAGCCCCATGTCAAGCAGCATTTCCTGCTTCCAGGCCCGGTAGAAGGACATCTGGGCCCACTTCCACACCTTATGCTCACCCTCTGGCAATCGCTCACAATGGCTCTTGCTGACCCATGCCTTCTGCTGCTTGGGGAAGAAATGGTCCTTCTCCAGCAGCATGTGGCAGTTCTGACGGCCGACACCCAGAATGGACCCATGCCGCCCATACAGCGAAATGCCAGCGTCCTGCGGCTAGGGAGAGCTTATGATGGGCTTTGCTCAACCAGCTAATTTTCTCTCGAACCCACAGGCCTCATTGACTATCCTCCATGTGCCCTTGGTCATGTCATGCTCACCAGTGTCAGCACTCATAGCTGGTGGGCCGGGTGGCGGAGGCAATGGCGGCTCAGGGAGCTCATCCACCGCTTTGCTCAATGCGTTTTTCTTGAGCTGCTTCTTATGCTGCTTTTTGGCCATCTTGCCCATCTTGGGCAAGCTCATGCCCTTGGCCTTGGCTTCGGCCTTGGCCTGGGCCTTCGCCTTGGCCTTCGCCTTGCCTTTCTTCGAGGCCGATGCTGGCAGATCCCTCATGGCGGCATACCTTGGCTGGTGGCATGACAGGAGGAGAGTCTCATGGGGGTTTAGGGCAAGTAGGAAGGGCGAGGAGCCTGGAGGTTTCCTGCATGCTTGCTCTCAGCTCCTCCCGGGCCTCATCCGTGAGCTGATGCTCCTGTTGCTTCTTCTGCCGCCTGGTCTTATTCTTCTCTCTTCTCCTCTCCCTCTTTGCCTTGGCTTGATCGCTCATGGTCGCCTCTCTTGCCAGCATGGCCCTTCTCAGGTCTAATGGCATCTGGAACTTGGCGCATGCCTGCCATTCAGGCTCGGAATGCTCATCAAATGGGATGTCCTCCCAGCTTGGGGCATCCTTGAACCCATCGTTGTAGTGCCAATGGGCCAGGTCACTCAACTCAGTGGCTCCCTCAATGCGAGCCCAATTGGGTTTCTCAATGTCTCCATTGTTCTCATGCTGATACCGATTGGCGACCCATGTCGGATGGATCCTCTTGCAGCCCAATGGCTTGTCCTTGGCCCATGCCTCGTGATCGCACTTCCTCATCTTGCCATGCTCATCAGGTCTCAGGGCCAAGAACCCATTGCGGCGGAGCCCAGCCAGGACCCATTCCGTCTTCTCATTCATCTGGATCATGTGCTCCATGGCAGCGTCGATGGCCAATGCCATCTCCTTGATGCCCATCTTCGGGAACTGCTGCTCATGGTGCCCATCCTCCTCATTCCGGCGAGCCGCCTGCCTCATGCTCTGCTCATCGATGGCTCTTCTCACTGATGCCTTAAAGGCATGTGAAAAATCTGTATCAGTGAGCTGTAATGCTGATGTCATCTTCGGCATGATGCTCGACTGAACCTGATGCCCCATGAAGAGGGTCTTGACCGTATCTGATGTGAATGCAGGCCCATACGCATCCCTCATCCACACACTCAATGGGAACTGCCTAGCCTGATCCTTTATGACCCATGGCAAGCAAATCCCATCGCTGTTGGATGCAGGCTGGCTCATGACGGAGAAATGCCGGAATGCTTGTGGCATCTCATCTCGCAGCTTTCGCCAGCTGATGAGAGCTCGGCCGCAGCTCTCACCTCTGATGTGGCGTCTCTCTTGACCCATGTAGAAGAATGTCTCATCCTCTTTCCATTTCCCATGCTCGTCAATGTTATCCAACCGTGCATGCTGGCCGGGAACTATCAGAATGCCTCTCATGCAGTGGCCTTCGGGGGTCTTCTCATGGTCGAAGAAGCCACTCACGAGCTGCATGGCCTCAAATGTGACCCTGTACCTATCGGCCTTCTCTTGCCGACGGGTGGTCAAATGGGCCATCTCATGCTTCTCATCTGGCATGGCGAGCTTCCACTCATCACCTGGTTCCTCCTGCTCATGTGGCTGCTTCTCATGATGCTCCTCAGCTTTCGACTCCTCATGAGGCTCCTCAGATTTCGACTCCTCATGAGGCTCCTCAGCTGCCGGGTGTGTCTCATCTGCGGTCTGCTGCGGCTCATGCAGGTGCGGATGCTGCTTCTTCTTCTTGAGGCCTGCTACTTCCCATGAAGCCATGATTTCTTTCTTGGACCCAGACTTCAGCCAGAGTGGCACCTGATCGGAGAAGCCCAGAACACATGCCTTTCTAATGGCTGGGGTGATCTCATTGGGCCTGGCAAAGTACTGTCTCATGAAGTCCTCATCTGCTGATGCCACCTTGTGAATGCACCAGTCATGGTGTTGCCACGAGAGCTCAGCCCTCACCTGCTGCTCCACGGAACTGATCTGGGTCACGAGGTTTGGAACCCTCGTCTCAGCCCCAAGCCATGTGGCCAATGTCTTTGCCCTTTTGTTCATCAGCTTCTCGCTCCCATGCATGGCCTCAATCTGCTTCTCTGCAAGCTTTAGCTTCACCTCATGCTGCTGCCGCTCCTCTGTGCTCATGTCCTTACTCTTCTCAGACTCAAGCAGCTCCGTAAGCTCAACCATGTGTTCCTGAAGGAGCAGCTCATACTGCCATGCCAGGTGCCGCTGCAGCACCTGATGACCATGGGCTCGTTCTTTGTCAAGCCAATGGCCAAGTTTCTGGACGACCTCAGGGAATTGTCGCTTGGCACCAGCACCTTCTGCTCTCATCCTTGGCCTCTGCTTGGAATGCTCCCCACCGATCATGTTGCCATGGTCCTTCTTTTCGAGCTGAGCCCATGTGCTCCTGTTGGCCCAGATGTCCTGCAGCTTGTCCAACCTCATCTTGCTCTTCTTTGCAAAGGCCTTGAGCATGTCTTGCTCAGCGGGATGGTGCCCACGGGTCTCATAGATTTGCTGGCAGATGCGGTTCTTCATGGACACAGGCAACTCAAACTGCCGAGGTTTCTCATTGGCCTTTCTCCGGTTGGACTTCTGGCCACCCATGATCCCTCTCCTTTCGCTGACCGGCTTCATGGGCCGACCTCCGAACCTCCCAAACTTCTTGCCCACCTCCTGCTGCAGCTTTGGGATGACATCCTCATGGGCTGTCAGGGTCAGCTTCTTCCCATCAAGCGACAGCTGCCCACTCTTCAACATCTCACGAAGAGTGTCTTCCATGCGATGTCTTGGCCTCTTGGGCGGCGGACTGGGCGTCTCATGGATGCTGCTGTCGTCAGAGAAGGATGACGGAGACCGGAAGAACTTATGCAGCCTTGACTGCTTGGACTCGGCTGATGAAGCCGATCCAAAGCTCAGCTGTCGCTTGACACGGTCCGTGGGTGGGCTCATGCTCTCATCCGCTTCTTTCTTTGCCACAGGAGTCTGGGAGAGGGCTTTGTCCTCATCGTCCAGGACTATGGCTGTCTCCTCATTCTCTTGCTCCTGCTCATGCTGCGACTCATCACCGCCTCCCCTCATTCGCATCATGCTTCGCCAGTACTCCCTTTCTGCCTTCTCCTGCACAAGCAGAAGC